GGCTTGGTCCCCGCTATGCCCTATAGTGGCCGTTTTCACTATCTCCCTTTGGGAACAAGTGTAGCCGAGTGGAGTCCTCCTGGGAGCTGGTGGTTAAAGTCTGTGCTCTGCGGGGGTCTCCGACTGCTCTCCGTGCCAGTGCCACATGCGGGAGGTCACCAATAGGAGTGTAGTGTAACGTCCCGTCGGAAGGGGCTTGTGGAAGCAGGAGGGTCTCTGAGCATGGGTACTCACACGAGTAAGAACCCAGCCCAGATATGGTGTTAATCAGCTTTGGTGGAGCAAAACGGGGTAGATAAAAGGGTCCTAAGCCCTCAAAGGGTTGGCGGTTGCCACGGTAATCAACGAGCAAACAGGAAAAGGTAACCCTGTCTGAACGGAGCCTCTCTGCTCCCATGCCCAGCTCAGTCGGTCAGTTGCTTAAAACCAGCCATCTCCAAGCTGCCCTTTGACCTTGGTATAGGAGGGCTCTGGGGAAGACTGAAGCAGAGCGTCAGACCTTTGCAAGCAGCACGGCAGCTCCTCAGTGAGCCCAGGCTGACGGCTGTGAGTCCTGCCACCTCTTGCCCAGAGCACTGGGCCACCTGGGTCTGGTTTCTCCATTCTTTCCTGGGCTGCATTTTCTCTCCAGTCGGGTCTCTTGTCCCAGTCATCTGTGAGCAGCACAGCTGTGGTGTCCAGATGTCAAACCACCATGAAAATCCCAAAGCAAGCCGGCCAGGCAAAAAGTGCCAGGCTAACTCTGGAGCTGCTATCTGCCGAATAAGGTGTGAATGGTTAATTGCTCATTTCCAGCTCTCTTAATTGGCCCAGTTTTTCCTTTCTTTATGTGTCATTGATTTTACAAAGGTATCTTAAACCCCTCCAACCCTCGGATTAAAAGTAGAGCAAATATCCACCTGGACTCTTAAATTCCTCTGATTAATTGACCGCAAGAGGAATAGGTGGACCCCACTGCTCCAGAGGTGTGGAAAGCAGACCCAGAGACCGCGTCTTCTCCCATAAACTCACAGGAGAGACGGCCAAAGCAACCCGGTGTCATCAGTGCGTGTCACCCACTTCCTGTCTGTGTCCTCCTCCCCATCTTGCATTAATCCAGGAGAGCAGCATTCCCAACACCAGCCCTGGGGCGTCCCCTCTTCAGGCTTTTCACTACAGAGCTTTGTTTTCCTATCATGTAGCCGGCTTTTAGGCCACAGCAAGACTTTGCCTTTTACCTCCTGATCATTTTCCTTAACAGTCTCTTGTGAGGGGCCAGCTCAGAACCTTTCTGAAAATCCAGGTGAATTATAACAATCGGGTCACTTTGATGTATTTTTTTAAACCCCTCTGAATTGGGCTCAGCCCAACCTTGGCAGGCCTTGATGTTCCTCTGTGGTCAGATATTTTATAGCTCCTTTGGGAGGGGACGGGTTGGATTTGTATCTGTGCTTAGAATCATAGAATATTAGGGTTGGAAGAGACTTCAGGAGGTCCTCTAATCCAGTCCCCTGCTTGAAACTCTCCTGTCTCGTGCTGTGTGTGGAGGTAGATAGGTCTGTCCGTGATGGGGATGAGAAGTCCACGAAAGATGCCCTTGTGGGGCCCGGGGAGGTAGAGCACCCTTAAATTTGATGCGCAGCGAATAGTAGTGATACCATTATTTGACACTGTTTCCAAGGAAATGTGGCCTAAAGGAACAGCTTGTCCAGAATGCTCTGCTGATACACGGTCCATGCCCTTCGAGAGCTTGTTAACTCGTATGAGTGCCCATGCTCAGAGATCCTGTTCTAAACTGGGCCTCTCAGGAGCTGATCAGAATCTGTCCCCCGCTCCCAAGGTGGGAAAGTCATTGTGACACTTCTTGGGGCACCAGAGCTGTGAGTCACCTTGGTGCCACCTGCCTCCAGCGTGAGAGAGTCTTACCTGTGCCAGCTGGGTGTCAGCTCCCTGACAAACCAAGCTACTCAAACGCTCACCTCTGGGCTATGCCAGTCCTGCCCCTTGACAATAGATGCACCCAGCCCCTGAGTCCCTTCAAAGGTCCCCCTGTGGTGTCCTGCCCTGATCACGTGATACCCACAGAAATCCCAGAGCCTCCATTCCCAAAGGGACACTACCCCAGTTCAGTTATAGTAAAACAAAAGGAAATTTGTTTAAGAAAGAAGAGAGATTCAAATAGAAACAAGTGTTAATGATGGAAACCAATGGTTACATACAAAGCAAAATACTCAAACATGAAGAAGTGCTGGCTCTTATTACCAGTTCCTTTTCCTAGCTAATAATGTAGATTCTCACTCCCAAAGTTCAGACTTTCACAGTGTTTGCTGGCCCCAAGGAGCCACAACCCAGTCTTTCATGAAGCACCCCGCAGTGAATGGATACAGAGTGTCTTTCTCTACCCTGTGATATACTGAATCAGTCTTTTATCTTTATTCATAGACAAGGCGATCCCCTCGCTGTCATATTGTTCCTCCTCACTGCCAAGTGGTTTTGATCTTTATCGTTCTCTTTGATGGTTTTCCATTGACTTTTCTAAGTTGTTGCAGTGGTAGACAATTGAGCAATACGTTACACAACTAGACACATGATTCCCTGCTGCCTCACTTTCACTCCAAGGCCATAAGGGCATAATTTTCAGCATAGTTACATTATTCCTTAAATACAACCCGTACACATGTCTCACAATGAGTATTGATAAGTTACCAGCTCTTAGTGGAGACATGCTATCCTTTATGGATAAATGCTATGAAAGTGGTGTATTAGATGTAGTGAGTTTGTCAGGTCTGAGACAGGAGTTGCTTGGAAAGAACAGCGAACCCTTTGCCAGCTAGCACCTGTGTCACAACCACCCTCTCATTCCCCTAGTTCTCCTGCCCCATCCATGCCTCTTCCCAAGCAGGAAAGAGAGACTGATCCCAATCCGAACCCATCTGACTGGCTTATTTTCAGTGTGCCACATTCCAGTTTAGACAAGGCATTGTAATGTAGGTGCTTGCGATCCCCCCGGAATACTGGTGTTCCCAGCTGGCTCTGGGTGTTCAGAACCTGTTCGGAGCCCCAGCCTGGCAGGACTGCTGTCAGCACTTCACCAATTAATATCAATGATGCTGACATTGAGCTTTGGGTGGCCATGGTTGCCACACGCTCACTCGCCTTTAATGACTTTTTTGGCCAAAATCTGATCCATAGAGCTGTGCACCTCAGAGTACCTTACAGCACCCTGCCCAATATGGCTCCCACATGGAAAGAATGGACATAACTGATGTACTCATGACACTGATGGCCTGCCACAGTGCCAGACAGAATCACAGGTTACTTTGGGGACATCTCCCATAGGGACAGTGTGCTCCAGATCTCCAGACTGTAGCTCAAAGGGGTCCTGGAATTGCCCTTCCATCAGAGGTCATCAAAGGTCAAGTTGGTATGTGAGATGTCTTCCTGTACTTGGTGTCCCGTAATGTACCAAATTGCAAGAGCG